TCTCGTGGTTCGGTGAAGAGTAGGCTTGGTGTTCGATTCGAGTTTCAACCGGCTGCGGATCATCAGAAAAAAATCCACGAATTCGCTATTCGTCTACGAATTCGGGATTCGTCTACGAATCCGTTTCATGGGCAATACAAAATGAACGTAAGCAATGGCCAATATATCGGTGTATTTGTGATTATTGCGGGTGCAGAGGACATGTGCGGAGGAAGTTTTACAAGCTGTACAACGTAACAAGGGATCCAGTGTACCATATCGACACACAGGAAATGGCAACCGGTGCAAATATCTTGGCAGAGTTACCGGACAGATTGAGAACCATGGAATTGGATTCTGATGACGATGATTCAGATGATGTACACTGTGTGCATGTTTTGTCTATAAATAAGATAAGCGACCCTTGGATATTAATTGTTTTTATTGAAAATAAGCCTGTACAAATAAAGATCGACAGGGGTACACTGTAAAAAAGCCCCAACTAGTTGTTATCAGTGTTGACAAAAATCAACAAGCAAACAACTGCGGTTGATTTTGCAAGCTGTGATATCGCAGCTCGGAATATCAAGCTAACAAAACTCACCAGCTGTAAATCTCAACAAACTGTGGTGAGATTGAGTTTCATGATTTTTGCTTTTCACCCGTGTCTGCCATCGGTGAAGAGTAAAAAGAGATAGCTATAGATATATACTTTCTCTTTCTACGAACACGATGTGCAACGGAATCATTTTTGTATCGAGTCAACCTCAGCTTGATTTTTGCACATTGTGAATAGTCTCGCAATATCAAAGGAGCTTGTCAGGACCCGGATTGTACGACGAATTGAGTCACCAAACACAATAACTTCATCGGTTGTTTTAGCGGTATCCAGAACAAAGAAAACCGATTTGCAATGGTAAGTAATTGCTATAAATGCAAGCTTTTTGTGTCTGAATTCGATAATCTTTGTCACATAATCACTGCTTTGAAATCATAAACTTGAGTCTTCAAGTTGGATTTACGGAATTTATTGAGGATTTGGCACAGGCTAAAAATTTGATCCATCGTTGATTATCCCTCGTGAATATCAACCCTATATTCGCCGAAAGAAAGGACTCCTCAAGCAATCTTGCTGAATTCAGAAAAGGGGTTCCTCTAAAATTGGTGCATAGCAGGAAAATAAGCCTTAAAAGATTTTCCTCCTTCCATAGCTTTATCAGAATCTGAATTTAATTTGCTGGAAAGTCTTGCATACTGTGCGGCTAAGCTTTGAGACATAGTATATTCAGGAAGTTCCTATGCCCGCTAGCGCCACGTAGCTAGAAAGTTCTGAACTAATATGACCACCAGCCGGAAAACCATGGTCATCTGAACAGCAACCACATCCTTCTAATGAAAATATTATACTTGCAATAGGGAATCTGCTTTAAATCGAGTTTGACGTATGCTTCGTCATCGATCAAAGTGCAGCCCTTGTGGTTCGTCAAAACACGGTCGTACAAGAGCCTTGCACGTTTTGTGGCCACGAATTCTGCTTCATGTGCCTTTTCGGATGTTTACTAGCTTTGTATGACTTGTATCCTTCCCTGGCAAGGATTTTCCGCACCGTTTGAAAGTTGGCGTTGTACCTTCTGGCCACATCTCGGATCGAAAGACCAGGACCGGCTTTAGCGTACCTAAACACCTGACGATCCCTAGTTCCAGTTTTTTCGTAGGTCCACTGGTTTCCTTGTAGGTTTTGAGCACTCGACAAACTGTTGTTTTCGGCATCTTCAGCACTTTAGCTATCTTGAAACTGGATTTTCCAGGTGTGCACAATATTTTTTCTTCTTTCGAGTTCCTTTTGACGTTATTTCTGAATGCGATCGACTACTTTGATCAAACTTGCACCAGTTGTTCTCTATAGAAGTATTAACAAACCACTGTCAAAGATTTTTGATTATCAACACTAGAGGCGTGCTATCGGTGCGAGAGGGGTGTACCAATTTACTTTTAGTCAGTCTTTACAATAAGCACTGCGATAACATTTACTTTACAATGACAAAGCCAAATTAATCAGCTAGTCGTAGTAGTATTTGTTCTCAAGATTTACTAAAATTTAAATAAAAAAGGCAAAATTGTAAAAAAAAATAGCACTTAAGCGAAGGCAACAAATCAAGCAGACTGACAACTCTTCCATTTTTATCTGCCGCTCAAAGGTAAATGCTTCGAACGAATTTGATAGCAAAGATTACATCCTGAGAAGAAAGGTTTGCGTATTTGTTCATTTTTCTATGGGTTGCTTCCACCTTTACTCAAGCACAGCGCTATTGTATCTGTCTCTTGGATTCTGGCAAAGTTGCCAGTCTTCTTGATATGATGTCTTTGACTTAAGGCAACAATTGTAAAACGGTCTACACTGATTGACGACAAAATAAAAATAAAATAAAAATATTGAACCTAGTATTGAATATTTCCTCGCCTTTTCAGAGCGTCTGTTTAGCTTTCAGCGGTGTAGTCCATCAAATTCTATATGGACATAAGTATTATTCTATGAGCGGAAATATGAACACCAACATATCTGCTGCTCCGTTTTCTGCGCACAGCAATTTTTGCAATTAAAACATGATTTGGCTTTTGTTTTGTATAATGTGACATGAAAATGACAGAGAAAATTCGTTTTACCTGTTCAACACCACTAGAAAGAAGTAAGAAATACTAGAAACTAGTAACTTGGAATTGTTTGCGCTAAGTGAACTAAAATGTACAAACCTATGAGCTTATGTGGAAACCAAATTAATTGTCAATCAAATATTAATTTCAAAAACAAATTCGACTGCATCATCAAGCTAAAGCTCAATGCCAAAAGAATGACTCCATCTCGATCATAGAGCTGCAATGCAATCCCCGAATATATAAGAACCCCCGTTGTGATCTGACAAACGGTACCATCTCAGTTCTTCTCTCACCACTATTGTGCCTGTTCGCTCTCACTCAGGTTCGCCACCTTGGAAATCTCTCAAGAAAAATGAGAAGCGGATCAAATGGCCAACATGATGACGATTCCAAAACCGTCAAAACGATATTGGTACCGATAGGCAACAACAAAGCCAGGGCAGATCAATCTCCCAAACCCCACGGGGAAGGTCAGCCGGTGTGGATCATCTAATGGCCAATGAACACAACGAGCAAGATAGGAAAAAAACGTTCCTTAAGTCGAAAAGTAAACAAAACGTCAAGAAGAATGATGCTGTGCGACGGCGGTGATATCCCCGCATAACTCGCGCCGGGGAAGGATGAGCACGAGCAAGGGGATGATGAGAAATTCCCAAATACCAATATTGAGCACTCGAGGATTAATATAGAGATCTTGACTCTCTTTCCTAGCGCATCTAGCGCGCCGAAAAAGAAATTCCACCGTCGACGATGACGACGACGGGCCAATCAGACGTGCGGGCCAGCGGTGATCAATGATCGTTGTCCAAATAGAGATCATTCATCAGTGAATTACCTTGTCGTTGTCGTTGTTGATGTTGATTTTGATGTTGTTGCACACTCTCGAGGTCTAGCGATGATCTAGCGGGCGAGTGCGAGCGATGAAGATCGATCCCTCTCTGTGTGAGCGCCCGTCGAGGTGAGGTCCGAAAATGAAATATTAACAAAACAAAAATTATGACAATAACAAATAACTGTTGGCCAATCAGATTGACAGTCGGACGATTTCTAGACTACGATAAGAGGAGCGAACCTATTGAAATGTTTATATTGCACGAGCGGGGAGTGAAGATCGTCGTCGTCGTCGTTTTCCCATAAGCTCATCGCATCGGTTGGAGATATTTTGGCGGTTTCTCCTTGACCGATTAATCGCCTGCCGCCGGCCGGGTCTTCGAGATAAGCATATAATAACAACAATAACAGCGCACAACTCGACATGACGAAAACAGAAAAACATTTCATCTTGATGAGTGATGATAGGGCCTTTGAAAATGACCATCGAAAACAGATGTTCTGCTGGAGCATGGCAACCACTGGACCAGGGAGAGGTTGAGGTTAGATTTGTTCGGTTCAGCGGGTGAATCTAGAGCAGATATAATTGGGAAACGGGTTTTCTGTACACGAAAGATACAGGCAAAAGGTGATAAGTGTACGGTCAAATAAAACCACGTTTGTGGTGGCGCACGAGGAAAATCTAGTCTTTTTTTTTTTTTGAACTACGTGGTGGTTCGAAACTGATTTGTATGCACCTCCACGCTGACGAATTATTATCAATAAAACAGACACGTAAACGAAGACACTCCATTCATACTGGGGATCTGTACTATGGATAACGATCATAAAGTAGCAAATTATGATTATGTTCAAAGTAAGCACAACGTCGCTGGAGAACAATTGGGACCGCCCACAACCATGAATTGTGCCTAGACGCCACCGGCTATGCATAATTTGGACTCACAAAGTGAAACCGTACTTGAGCTATTGTCATAGATCCGGCCACGTTATTCCGTACGAACGTACCTTGGTTTTGGCTTTTCGTTAATATTCATATGAAGTGGCAGTCGTTGGTTTTATTGGACTTGTTCATATTGCCGGAATGGAGTTGAAGAAGCACCGCTGGATCGATTGGCTTAGATAAAAATCATATTGACTAAGTATATAGTAAGGCTACACACTACGAAAAAGACTTATACATTTCAGTGCCCTGAGAACGACACATGCAAGCGGCCCTTTGGACATATGAATCAGTTGAAAAGGACGAGAAAATCAATTCAATCAAACGCACTTTTCGTCGAGTTGCATATGTTTCAGTTTCCCGACACTAAATTTTACATGCCATGTTTGTTTACGTTCCATGATTTACGTCAAAGCTGAATTACGTCTCATGTAAAAATAATAATTTCTAAGTGTGTAGTCTTGTAGATGAAGGAAATCCAATTCATCGACTGACCCAAAAAATCAACGGAGTGATTCCCAGTTGACAAAAACAGATTATTTCGATTGCGACACAACCTAACTGGTCCCGTCTTTTTCCTTCCCACCTCCAGATTCGACGCCAACAAATCAACCAAAGGAGCCTCCAAGCTGCGCCGGGATCTGATCAACTCGGAGATTGCCAACCTGCGGGATCTGCTGCCACTGCCCCAGTCCACCCGACAGCGACTGTCCCAGCTGCAGCTGATGGCACTGGTTTGTGTCTACGTGCGGAAGGCTAATTACTTTCAGCAAGGTAAGGGCTACGAAGGCAACGTGGTGTTCGTATTTATCGATATCGGTTTATTAGATCGATCCGTGACAAGATGCTGGCTCGATGCAGCAGCTGCCTGCCAGTTGGGAAGTGTTAACCGTCGCTGCATGTTTCGGTCGGTGTAAAATCAATGGACGACGATCGGAGGATGCTAATAAATTGCTTACTTGTTTGAGCTCCTACTGGATGATTTATCAGCACGGTGCATGAGTTTGAGATTTATTTGAGAAAAATGTAACCTTCAAGAGAATTAATGTCGAGCAAATTTAGTGATGAAGCGAATGGATTTGCTCTGAAAATCTTCCCAATACTCAATTTTTATTATCAATCTCTCCCTCAACTTGCACACCGGTCTTGGAAGATGCCAACGATCAACAAGAAGCCACTGCTCGGTAGTTGTCTCGTTTGCAATAGATATCAATGGGGCCATAAGACATCTGTTCAGACCTCCAACCCTGCCAAACGAGAGGAACATGATCATAGGCGAGATAGGGAAAAACAAAACAATTTCTAGTGTTAGGGAAATTAGTATCACCGTTTGGAGAATGCTATGGCGTGGTGGCGATGAGATTTGAATTTTGAAGATTGATTCAGGCAGGACGAATGCTAGGTTGAAATTCTACTAAACATGAATGAAGTATTCTTCAACATTTTAGCTTATGGAACAATGGGCTTGAAATGTATCAAAATCTGTCTACGTGGTTTATGGACCGACCCTTGATACATTTTCAAATATTGTTGGGGCATGTAAACCATTTTAAGTCCGGGAGGGCTTGAATCTACAATTTGAAAAATACTGAGCCTTGGCAAAACGTGGAAATGACACCATCCGCCAGGTTTCTAAATAAAAGATGTTCTTACGCTGTCCATATCTCTTTATTTAAGATTCAGAAAGTTACCTAAAATAAGTAATTCTCCTTTAAGTTTTCCTGCAAAGTTGAAAGGAAATGCGCTCAACATTATCTTAATATTCTTCGAAAATTCGCTTGAAATTTTGCTCAAAATTTAATTGAAAAGCTCCCAAAAAATCATTAAATTTATCTTGGAAATAACTTAGGAAGTCTCATCAGTGTTTCGTTGGCATTCTTTCGAAGTTTCTTAGTAATTCAGTCTTTTGGCGAGTATAAGGATGTTTTTCCTCTACTCCCGACGTTTCAATGGCATATTCCATCTTTCTCAAGGGATCTACAAAGAATTGTTACATAGCTTAAGATGTTTCAAAATTTACAAGTTTGGTGACTTACAGAAAATAACGTTTTTTGTCAGGTGGTCTGTGATTAACAGTGATTATCGTCACTTGATCGAAATCTTGCATCAATTTACCCATAATTAATCTTCAATTAGTTGTTGGAGTCTAAATACATATTCTACAGTCATAATTACTATCAAACAGGAAAAACGAAAAAAACGGAAAAGCTATCGGTCACTACTTTCTTTGCGCTAGTCACTTTGGTTTTAAACCGTCATTTCGTATCGTTCTAGTCAAGTGGGTAACATGTGTGGGTCTAATTGTCTGTTGGGTGTATGTTGGTTGATATTTGTCAATCTATTAATTTGGTTTGTTTTCGTTTTCCTTAGTGTGTGTAATATCCCTGCGTAAGTTGTACTCAAACTGTCACAATCGCTTCGCTTGTTTACCGTTTTGTCTGTGTTGATGATGTGGCAAACCTCCAGCACGGGAAGCGCCGATCGTCGTCGGTGACAGTCCAGAATCTCTGTCCTTTCTAGTGCGAAGCGGTGTTGGTAATCGGCCGAATGATGCAAGGCTTTCTTAGTAATTCTCCTACATATTCCAACTCATGGAAATTTATTTGAGCAAATTTATTTTCAGAATTCCTTTTGATTTCTGCAAAAAGGGCCGATGCAATTATTTTAAAAAATCTGGAATTTTTCCTAAAACTTGGATAATTTTTTTATTCTAACAAAGTTCTCTTTAGAATTCACCTGGAATTCTCTTAAGAATTGCCTACGTGTCACAACTACTAAGGTAGAGCCTTATTTCTTTTTATGGCATATTCTCGTCTTACCAAGTATAAAAAATAGCAATGATTTCACCGTGGTAACTATTGGCCTAGCTAGAATTTTTTACTGGAGGGGGCCCGGGGGGCCTGTGGCATTTTTTGTTATGTTAAACTACGGTCAAATAGAAAATAAGCAGCTGCCATTCAATCAAAAGGTATCCAGGCTAGTTGTTATTTTATTTTCCTGTTGGATACATTTCCACTTCGTCCAATAATACAACTTATTATGGTGAAGCTTACTATCGCGATATCATAATTCGGCAGCCCTGGGTTTGCCGTAACCTTTCCTAAAACCTTCAAATGCAGCTTCCGATCCTTAGTTCTACTACGACGCTTGCTATGATCCTGTCGATCGCTAAACATTTGGGTACACTGCACACGGTCGATTTAGCCAATTTTAACGACTTCACGATTTTTTAACCTGACTACGTCGGATTTTTCAAGCGATTTTTTAACCTGACTACGTCGGATTTTCCAAAATAAAATTTCGGTTCGCGACTTCAACTAAGTATAACTTTTTTTAAACAAAACGAATCGTGACGAACTTTTCAGCACTGAAAGAGAAAACATTTCAAAACAAACTGCTGTCAAAATATTCCAGATACTACTGAAAGAATCATAATAATTTTAGATGTGTTTTCCCACTAATATGCATCCCTCCTGCCAGGCATGGAAAATCGTTTACATTCATTTCATACATTCATTTAAATTCCTTTGCCTCTAACTTTTTTCAACAACATAATTCCGTAAAATAATTTGCAAAGTTTTTGTGGGTTTTAATATAAGTTACAACTTTTGCTAACAACTCAAATCTGTATCTCTTATGGATGACGAACTAGAGCGGGCAGAACTTGTTGTTGTTTTTCAGTGAATGTAATTTACATTAACTGAAAAACAATGGTGGGTTAAGTTTGCTCTGGTTCATCATGTATAAGAGATGCAGATTTGAGTTATTGACAAAAGACAAGCTTTTTAAATCATTTTACGAGATTCTCTTGATGAAATCAGTTAGAGGCAAATGAATGTAAATGAATGCACGAAATGAATGTAAATGATTTTCCATGCCTGCCTCATGCTCGCTTACTTACTTATCCTGGTCCGACATCCCTCAGGATTGCACCTGTTGCACAATGTTACGCCAATTCACTCGGTCCGTGGCTGCTTGTCTCCGATATCTTGACCGTCCCACACTTCCAAGATCCTTCTCCACTTGGTCTAACCACCTTGCTCGCTGTGCTCATCTTCGTCTTGTACCGGCCCGATTTGAGGCAAACACCGGCATTCTTAAAACGTGTCCCGCCCATCGTACCCGTCCAGCTTTCGCAACTTTCTGGATATAGGGTTCGCCATAGAGTTGCGCCAGCTCGTGGTTCAGTACTTGCAGGTCCTCTTCGAGCATCGTCCACGTCTCGTGCCCGTAGAGAACTACCGGTCTTATCAGCGTCATGTACATGGTACATTTAGTACGGAGGTGAAGTTATCTCCGTCGATTGTCACGTTTCTGCCTATGCGAGCCCTATCCCGCTCGGTTCCTCCAGCTAACAGATACTTTGTCTTCGACGTATTCACCTTTAATCCAACCCTCTCTGCTTCACGTTTCAGCCTGGTGTACTGCTCCGCCACGGCCTGAAACGTTCTTCGGACAATGTCCACGTCGTCAGCGAAGCAGATGAACTGGTTGGACTTATTGAAGATCGTGCCCCGCATGTTAAAGCCACCACGTTTCATAACACCTTCTAGCGCAGTGTTGAACAGGAAGCAGGAAAAACCATCGCCTTGTCGAGGTCCTTTGCGAGTTTCAAACGAGTCCGATAACGCACCCGATATCTTCACGCAGCACTGTACACCATCCATCGTAGCCCTGATCAGTCTGGTCAGCTTCCCGGGAAAACCGTTCTCGTACATAATCTTTCATAGCTCTTCACGGTCAATAGTATTATAAGCGGCCTTGAAATCGATGAATAGGTGGTGATAGGTGGTGATATTCACGACACTTTTGGAGGATCTGCCGCAACGTAAAGATTTGGTCCGTTGTCGATCGCCCGTCCACAAAACCGGCTTGATAACTTCCCACAAATCTGCTTGCTAGTGGCGATAAACGGCGAAAGATGATCTGGGAAAGCACTTTGTAGGCCGCGTTAAGAATAGTGATCGCTCGATAGTTCTCACATTCTAGTTTGTCGCCTTTTTTCCCAGCTGCTTTGTTGTTCTTAAGCTGTCGGATAATATATATCCTTAACTTCACCTATCGTGGGAGCTGGCATGTCCCCCTCATCCGCTGTACCGACGAAGCCATTCCTCCTACCGCCTTGGTCCTCCGCCTCTGCGCTGTTCAGATGTTCATCGTAGTGCTGCTTCCACCCTTTCAATCACCTCACGTTCGTCCGTTAAGATACCCCCTTCGTTATCCCGACACATTTCGGCTCGCGGCACAAAGCCTTGGCGGGATGCGTTGAGTTTCTTGTAGAACTTGCGTATTTCTTGAGAACGATACAGCTGCTCCATGGGTTTACTGTCTTCGCTTCTGTTTATATCTCTCCACATTATGACGGGTTCAATGCTGCAGCATCGCCGCCCGCGCTGCGTTCTTCTCGTCCAAAACCGTCTGACACTCTTCGTCGGACCAATCGTTCCGTCGAATCCGCTCCACGAACCCAACGGCGCCTTCAGCAGCGCTGTTAATGGCTGCTTTCACGTTGCTTCAGCAGTCCTCATGCGGGGCTTCGATGAGCTCTTCCTCATCCAGCAACGCTGTGTCGAGTCTTTGCACATACTCAGTTGCGACTTCGGGCAGCTTCAGTCGCTCCAGATTGTACCGTGGCGGGCGTCGGTACCGAATGTTGTTGGCAACGGAAAGTTTTTGGCGCACCTTGACCATTAGAAGGTAGTGGTCCGAATCGATATTTGCGCCGCGATAGGTCCTGACGTCAAAAATGTCCGAGAAGTGCCTTCCGTCGATAAAAACGTGGTCGATTTGCGATTCGGTCTGCTGAGGTGATCTCCAGGTGTGCCGATATGGCAGGCTATGCTGGAAGTAGGTACTACGTATGGCCATGTTCTTAAAGGCGGCGAAATCGATGAGTTTAAGGCCGTTGGCGTTCGTTAGCTGGTGAGCGCTGAACTTTCCTATAGCCGGTCTGAATTCCTCCTCCTAGCCGACCTGAGCGTTAAGATCTCCAATGACGACTGTGATGTCATGGCTTGGGCAGCTGTCGTATTCCCGTTCCAGCTTGCTAAGTGAGGGTTGTGCACGTTGATTTTGCTGACATTGAAGAAACGACCTTTGAACCTCAACTTTCACATTCTGCTATCGATTGGCCACTACGCAATCACGCGCTTCTGCATTTCGCCCATCACGATGAAAGCTGTACCCAGCTCATGTGCATTGCCGCAGTTCTGGTAGATGGTATAACCATCCCTATTCGTATGTACCGACGATCCCTTCCAGCAAACCTCCTGCAGCACTACGAAGTCGAACTTGCGGACCCTCAATAAATCGGAAAGAATGCGGGTACTCCCCCCCCCCCCCCCCCGCCCTCCTGCTAGCACATATTAAATTTAGATAGTGCGATAGTGTGCACTGGTTAAACGTCGAAAAGCTCTCTATATCCTCTAATCCTGCTATTACGCATGCCAAATTCATTACACCATCCCTCACGCTTAGCTCTCAATGTTGTAACAATTAACAGCATCTCCAACCAGCTGGAAAAGTCATAAACCACATAAATCACCTCAACTGTCGAAAGCTTGATTCCAAATATTGAAACATGACAGTAAATACCCTCAATGAACGCCTCACCCCCAGCAGATAACAATGTTCCAATTCCACCACCGCACCTTTACGATCCCACGCTCAATCGAAGTTGTTGTACACCCATCGGCCGTCGATCGTAGCTTTTCGTTGCGGGTGGTGGCAGCGGTGTGAAAGTTACCATTTCACGAATCATTTTCTTATCTAACCGGGCAAGGTGTGTGTGTGTTTGTCGTGTAGGTGCAGCGCAGGCACTCATTCTCCCGCAAACGAAGCGATAGGTGGTAGCCCCAACAGCATGTGTATGCCATCAATTTTTCGCGCTAAATGGTCTTGACAGGCAACAATTACCTGCTGCTGTTGATGCAGCATGTGTACGTCAATTGAACTGCCTCCTCCTACCATGCCATCATATCCCATCATTATTGGTTGCAAAGGAGCAGTGCAATGACTGTCGGTCGCGACGTCAAAGCCGCCACAAACTCGATTAGTTTGGTGGGCGTAAAATCACGAGACTCACGATCAACTGCTGCTGCTGCTGCTGCTGCTGCGCTGCGGGTTTATTCCAAACCTGTGCATGGTAAAGAGTCGAAAGTTTCCAAATTGTGCCTTATGGGGGGAAGCGAGCAATGCAGGTGGCTTTCAAAATCCAAGTTTTCCAAGTTAGCTGCAAGTTCAAGATCTGCCAACGGTGAAGGTTGAAACGGGCTCATATTCTAAGCCAACAAAGAAGAGATTGTTCTTCGCCACACAACTCGCGTTGACAGATTTGCTTTTATTGTTCACACCCCCGCACATTTTGAAGATCGACTCTACCGGATAACCCGTCGATCTGTCGTCGCCGAGGCTCTTGTCTTCACAGTCTTAATTGATCGTCGTACCGGAACGGATCTCCCCTTCTGTAACCCAGCTGGAGATTGCGTTCAGCCAAAATGTTGAGCATGCAAAAGTAGAATATGATGATTGAGATACGGCGAAGGAAGGCAAGCAGCGAGCTGTTGCTCGCCCTTCGATTGTTGTGTCAGTCACATGTGTCGGGAAGATTGGCGTATGACGATGACGTCGAACCACACACAACTCGATGGGAAAATGAAACGTCAATTAATTATGTATACAGAGGGGGACGCAGGGGAGAGAGTTAGAGAGCACGTGTAACCGGATAAAACTGCCATCATAAAACTACTCTGCCAAAGGTGCTAAAATGTCGATAATCACAGTCGTAATGCTCAAACAGAGTATTAACTACGGCAATGATCACATTGACATCAGCCTCGGTGCGGTGCTACTAAGCTGCATTTGTCGACATCTTGCAATTTAAATTATCTACGGAAGCCGGCTTAAGCAGTGGCGGTGGTTAATAGCTACAAATGTAAATATGGGAATAAATTCAATTAGAAATTCATTTGAACGTGCATTTTTGTGCATGTGATGGAGTCGTACCGTGGCTATTTACGGTGTCCGTGTTCACAAGCGATCGTTTCTCACGCTAGGTTCTAAGCTAATCTGCGAAGGGCTTGTTATGGGGATGATATGCTGAGGGGCGTACAACGTAGACCTCCAGGGCAAGCTCATTAGCAGAGGGCTCCCAGGTCACATTCAAAGGCTTTCTAAGGAAATTTCAAAGGACTCGAGCATGTTTCCATATATGATTAGAGAACGCTACATGCAATATCAGATAACTCTCAGAGGAAATCGAGACACGTTCAGAATACTACTAAACTAAGTCTCGAAATACACACTCTTCTAAAGAAATCAACTTTAAGTCATGTAATTAATTGTTTTTGAAAACACTCACTGAGAAGCAAACCACACATGATTGGAAGGGCACGCGTGTATGAAAAAATTTGCGAAAAAATCTTCGGCCACCGGTGGGATTTGAACCCACAAATACTAGTCAGTACACGGGTACATTATCGATTATACTAAAGGTACCACTGAGCGATGCACAAGTTTTTGTGTAGAGTCCTTCAGTGTGTAGAACTCGAATCGCCTCTAGTGTTGGAATTCACATTTAAACCTTCCTCAACTGTTACGGCGCACGCCAATCCCTTCCCAAAACCTTCAACCGATTAGCATTGAATGCATCCGAATGTTCCGAACAAGCCCTTTCATCGAGCTGGCTCTATTAGTTATGGGCATAGCACATCGAGTCCTGACCGAGAAGTAACAACTACCACCCGGTGAGCACTATATACGTGGCTAGCACCCGATTCATTAGCCATTTGTGCAGATTATCGCCACAGACTTGAACAACTGTCAGTCGGTAGGGCTTATTTGTAAAAGTCATCTGTGTAGTAGGTAGTTATATGGCCGCCTGGCACAAACAACGAGTTAGTAGTTCAACAGCATATCACCAACGAACCACTCCCACCGTGTCAAGCATTGGTTGGGAAGTATTTCAGTTAATTGCGAATGTTTATCATGTGAGTATGTGTTTTGACTGGTTTGTTGATTTGGCTTACAACCGATTTACACGCCTCTAAATCGTTCATTTAATCACTGAGAATGTCATACGAATTAAAATTGAATTGCAGATCCTCTCGTAATGTGAGACATGCATCACTCAATAAATCTGCTAATCGAGCAAAACGTCTGAACGTGCTACATAAACTCAGCTCTTCACTACACCACGAAGGCCCTTTTGAGACCTTGCTAATGTGAGTTAATTTGTAAGCCTATCATTAGCACCGTATTCTCCGCAGCCCCAACTCCACCAAGAACCAACTTCATTTATCAACCTCGCTTCGCTCGTTGTAGGGTCTCTCCACTTAACCCACTTCGCTTACCGAAGGGGGCACATCCTCTGACTGACTTATTGTCAGTCAGTCAGTCAGTCAGTCCGTCAGAAGATCGCGCACATTCGAGGTCAACGGAGTCATTTTTCTTCGCATTTCAGCAAGCTTTCCCTCAACTGCCCTAGGAATCGTCGGATTTGGACAACGTTGCAAATAAAGGCCTCCTCTATTTACCCAATCCATTCATGCGTTTAATTAGCCCAGTTGATTCCGCCGCAGTATGTAGTTTGTTGCAAATGAGCCCAATTATTGTCAGTTCCACTTGGAGACGGAGGAAGCAACAATGTAGGATCGAATTCACGACCCAGTATGATTCAATTGACTAATTATCCTGTTTTCTTTCCAACTATGTTTTCTGATTTTCTCATTCGATTTTCTGTTTTATTGCAGCGCTCAAACGCAGCATTGACATTGGACTGCATACAGCTCCCACGCCAAATATAGGATTCTCCAAGGTAAGGATGGTTTGTTTGCTTATTGGGTTTATTTGTTGTCGGTGTAGATATTGCATAGTCACGGAATCTTGAAAATATGACTAAGCATCGGGATCTTAAATATAAAAAAAAAACTTTGCCCCAGGTGCTTGATTCCGTCCGGACTATTTCAAACATTGTAAAGATCTTCGTGTACTGTAATCGTAAAAACATGGCTAAATCCCATGTCCTGAAAATTTGTTAAAATCTGGTAACGTTTATTTAAAGCCTTTTCAATTGTCCAATTCATGCTGAACATCTATTAAATAAAGATAACTAATTAAGGTGGTTCCTTGTAGAGTCCACAAATGGTCACCACGTAGGCTATACATGCACTTCCACTTCAAATTTTCAATTGCACACATCTCGGAAATTAATGCCCCATTTTACCTGAAATTACTTCTTCATGTATTCTGCAGTACAGCAAACGGGAGTAACAGAATAAGGATCTCACAGCAAAACAGCTTAACTAACTGTCCAATTCATTGGATCAAAAGACCAGTTCCCGGAAGCCAAACCAATTGCTAAATTTTGGATCTAGCCAATATTTTTCAACTGCTGGACAGTCCGACGTAATTAACTTTTGCAAGTTCCTTCTTTTTCTTCTTTATCGCGATTTCGAGCTTATTACTTATCGCATATTAGCTTATTGCGTGCTCCCACCCAAGTAAAATCTGTAACATCTTTTTAAAAGAGAGAAAGAGAACATGTTACAAAATGATTACCTAAAAGTAACCATGAAATATATGCGGTTACATATCAAGTCAACATGAAGTTACGTCATGACCTTCTAAGTAACAGGACACATTAATGTCACACAATGGTCCTTGGTAACTTCATAGTCAGATTGTGACGAAGTTGAGATAAAATGGGACTTATCTGGTCTCAAAGATGACACAGTGTAACGTTTTTGTGTCGATCTAATGTTAGCAATTTGTTGAACTGTAACTGAGTTGCCACACAACAGTGACCGAAAAGCTACACGGCCAATCATACCAACTCAGCGACTGAGAATAATTGACTCAGAGAATTTTCTTTCCATACGAAATTTACTCTGATTTGAAAAAAAAACCGAAGTTACTCATAATTTATGAGTAACTGCAGTTTTTTTTTTCAAATCTGAGTAAATTTCGTATGGAAAGACAATTCTCTGAGTCAATTATTCTCAGTCACTGAGTTCGTATGATTGGCCGTGTACGAATATCTTGACCTGTCAAATTCGTGCGGAAAGTTGTTACGCTGACGAATATGTAGCTTGGTAACCATTGTATGCCGCATTACAGCTACCTTTTCGTTTCAGCGTGACTCTAATAGTCGCGTGTCTCCAGATGGTAACACAAATGCAATCTCTATGATCTGGAAAAATGAAAGCTACACTGCAGTCCTAAAACGTTTCACCAATCACAATCTGATTATTTGTTCCTTTTTTATATATATTGTGAATACTGAGCCTTAAGGACAAATGAATAGAAGTAATTCTTCATATCATGAAACTTTTTGTTAGAAGTGTAACCTTCAAACCGAGTGTACACAGAAGATTTTTTTACTTCGAATCATATATGACCAGCAATATGGTAATAATTCAATTGAAATATATGATGGCGCATTTATTTTATGAATATAAAACTCCCACCTTCACCGTAATTATGAAACTACATATTTTTGTTGTGTTCCTCCTTGCGTCGTAGTAATCTCAGAGAGAAAGTAGTAGGGTGGTTGTTGCGAGCTGTACCATCATCAGCATTGTTGACGGTTACTCCGGCCTTGAGTTGTTATCAATCAAAGTGTTTTGACGTAGGACTACGTCTGTAATTTCTATTTGGTGGTCACTTTGTGAAAACCGAAAATGGAACATGTTACAAAATTATGAAAGATTTTGAACGTTAATAACTCAGCTGCCCCTGCACCAATTTCAATAAATTTATGTTCAATCGATCAGACATATTCCTACGCATCTGTTAAAATTATGACTTTTTGATCTAATGTTGAAAATTGCACGAATGTGCAAATATTGCTATGGTAACTAAAATTATCACCAATTGCCTGCGAAAAACGATTTCCCTAACACAGATTTCAAAGTTCAATTCCGTTCGGTCTCATCCAATGGTGTTTATTCAATCACCGTGGTGTGAGTGGTGCTGTTCTCCAGTACACAACGAATGGCTCCCCGCAAGCCGCTAACTATCAAGGCTGGTCTAAACCGCTGATCGGATTCAGTGCTTTCGGCGCCTGGCGTTGAACATTGTTCTCCAGTACACAACAAAAGGCTGCCTGCAAGCAGCGAGCTGCAGCCCACATAAGCATCCTTAGAAGGAGGATGATGCCGCACCGCTATTGATCGGAATCAGTAACTATTCGTGAGTTGATGTGAGCCATGTATGTTTAGCGCGTCATACGTAAAAGTATAAACGCTGAAATTCCTATACCTACACAAAACACAAGTTCCTGCTACAGTTAACAAATAAGATTTATTATATAAGAATACGTAGTCCTACGTCACCATTGCGTACAACCCTAAAGGGCTGTCCCTTGCAGTTTTTTTTTTTGGCCCACCAACTCACCCCGACACCAAAGAGCTCGCACCGAGAGCCCCCTGGTAATGGACTCCTCGTTGAGATTAAAATTTAAAAATAAATATAAGAATTAGAAGGAATTGCTGATATTTTTAGGTCTGTGTGATGAGCTATCTGCAAAACAAACAAAGTTCATAATGTTGGGATGTTCCCAGTGGAACTCAGTTCCTTTAAAGGGATTTCTTACCCACAAATGATTCAAAATATTAATACATACAGCTTAATAGTGAATGTAATATAATGATAATAATAATAATGAGTGCAATTCTTAAAATAGTAGTTTACTAATTTATATCAAGAGTTCTTTGATTTTTGATTTGTAATGTTGGTTTAAACTGGTTTTAAATAATAATCGTACTATCGTAATAATGTACATTGTTATACGACTTCTGGTTGTCTGGGTGGTCACCTTTCTTGTGAATGGGGTAGATTACCCCCTCCTTCCACTCCTCCGGTAGCTGTTCTGTTTCCCAGATCCTGACTATCATCCGGTGCAGGCAGGTGGCCAACTTTTCTGGGCCCATCTTGATGAGTTCGACTGCGATACCATCCTTACCAGCTGCTTTGTTGTTTTTGAGCTGCTGAATGGAGTCCTTAACTTCCCTCAGCGTGGGAGTTGGATCAGTTCTGTCCTCTGCTGCACTGACGTAGTCGTTTCCTCCATTGCGCTGGTCTCCCGTGCCTACGTTCTCCTCGCCATTCAGGTGCGCATCGAAGTGCTGCTTCCACCTTTCAATCACCTCACGTCCGTCCGTCAAGAGGCTCCCGTCCTTATCCTTGCACATTTCGGCTCGCGGCACGAAGCCGTTGCGGGATGCGTTGAGCTTCTGGTAGAACTTCCGTGTTTCTTGGGAACGGCACAGCAGTTCCATTTCCTCGCATTCCGCTTCTTCCAGGCGGCGTTTTTTCTCCCGAAAGATGCGGGTTTGCTGTTTCCGCTTCTGTTTATACCGTTCCACATTCTGTCGGGTTCCATGCTGCAGCATGACCGCCCGCGCTGCGTTCTTCTCCTCCAAAATCGCTCTGCACTCCTCGTCGAACCATTCATTCCGTCGACTTCTTTCCACGTACCCGATGGTGCTCTCGGCTGCGTCGGTGATGGCTGCTTTTACTGTACTCCAGCAGTCCTCTAGAGGGGGTACATCGAGCTCGCCCTCCTCTGGCAACGCTGCCTCGAGATTCTGCGCGTATGCTAAGGCGACATCCAGTTGCTTCAGTCGCTCTAGGTTGTACCGTGGCGGGCGTCGGTACCGTACATTGTTGATGACGGGCGCAGTTTGACCATCACCAGGTAGTGGTCAGAGTCGATGTTAGCGCCACGATAGGTCCTGACGTCGATAATGTCGGAGAAGTGCCGTCCATCTGCTGTGGTGATCTCCAGGTGTAACGATAGGGGAGGTGGTGTTGGAAGAAGGTGCTACGTATGGCCATGTTCTTGGAGGCGGCGAAATCGATGAGTCGTAGGCCGTTCCCGTTCGTCAGCTGGTGGGCGCTAAACTTTCCAATCGTCGGTCTGAATTCCTCCTCCTGGCCTACCTGAGCGTTTAGGTCTCCTATGATGATCTTGACGTCGTGGCTTGGGCAGCGATCGTACTCGCGGTCGAGCTGCGCGTAAAATGCGTCCATGTCATCATCAGTGCTTCCGGAGTGAGGGCTGTGCACGTTGATTATGCTAAAGTTGAAGAATCGGCCCTTGATCCTCAACCTGCACATTCTGTCGTCGATCGGCCACCAACCGATCACGCGCTTCTGCATTTCGCCCATCACGATGAAAGCTGTGCCCAGCTCGCGTGTGTTGCCGCAACTCTGGTAGATGGTATGATTACCTCTGAACGTTCGCACCATGGATCCTGTCCAACACACCTCCTGCAGCGCTGCGATGCCGAATCCGCGGTCCTTCAGTAGATTGGCGAGTATTCGGGTGCTCCCGATGAAATTGAGAGATCGACAGTTCCACGTGCCGAGTTTCCAATCGCAAGTCCTATTTCGTCGCTGGGTTCGTTGCCGTTGGTCTCGGTTCGTATTCCTCTGTTGCTGATTTTCCGTTGCAATGCTTTTTTTTACGGCTGGCTCGCAGGGCCTGACACCAACCCCCTAACTTTCCGGAGGACCAGGGTGCACAGTTGTGCTTAGAGTCCTTCACTGGCACTCGGACGTAGATCAGCCGCCCCTAACATGGGAACAGACGCTGTTGTGAGCCGCTCCTCCTGGAGAACAGACGCTCAGGCTTGCCGAAGCAAACCCCCCGTTCCCTGTCAGCCTATGACCAAAGTTCCCACCGGGGTTGGTTACCCGATCTTCCCTAAGGTTGCTCACAGTTCCCGGCCGGTAACACGGGGAGGTAGGGATAGGAGTTGCTGGGAAGAGGCTAGTGATCTCAATGGGATCTGTATTGCGCATTACCCAGTA